AACCAGAGGATCTAGAGCCTTTGAAGTGGCTGGTCCCACCCTCTGGAACAACTTACCAGTTCACATCAGAATGGCTTCCACTTTATCTGAGTTCAAGTCATATCTTAAAACACATCTTTTCTCTCTGGCTTTTAACATGTAGTAATATGTGCCTTTGAATTGTTTTAATCTGTTTTTGTTGTTGTATGGATTTTGAATTGTTTTATCTGTTTACTGATTTAAGTGATTTTCTCCTTGTTATATATTATTGTATGTTGTGCAGCACTTTGGTCGGCCTTGTTTCATGCTTAAATGTGCTCTAGAAATAAAACAGAACTTGAACTTGAACACACACACACACACACACACGAACAGCTTGATCTGTGGTTTTGTACTTAAAAGTCTGTATTGATGGCAACAAAAATGGAGTACATTACATTAAAGGGATAGTTCACCCCTGCCCCCATGTTTCATGTTTCAAACCTAACTTTCTTTCTTCTGCTGAACACAAAAGATATCTGAAGAATGCTGGCAACTAAATAATTTTGATTACCAATGGAGACACGTTCCAGATAAAAAAGTCATAAAGGTTACGAATGACATGAGGGTGGGTAAATGATGATAGAATTTGTGTGAACTGTCCCTTTAAGATGATGATCAGGTGTACCTCTACACAGGGATTTATATCCCACCCAGCAGCAGTCTGAATCTCCACAGTTGTCTCTCTTCAGCTCCCTGTGTCTGCCTTTACACCCTCCGAAACAAAGGGGGGCTGTCCCAGACCAGTAAGTGTCTGCCAGTTCATCCTCCTGTTCCACCTCTAACAGACCTGAATAACACAGTGCAGTCTTCAGAGCTCAAATTCATGCATCTTTTGCCAATTTTCAATATTTCTAACATTTTGTAAAAGCAATCATGCTGCTTTGTTGAGATATTTTGTTCATTCATAAATGAATAAAGTGCTTCTCTTACCACTTCCTAGACCTTCCTCCACAGCTGTTCTTTCAGTAAATGCAGTTATAGGCACTTGAGTGAACACCCCGTGCAAGGACCCCAGAAGCAGCAGCAGAAGAGCTCCTAGTTTCATGTCGTTTTAATGGTAGGAATTCTTCTCCAATACAGAAGTAGTCTATATCCCTTCAGTTCTCCTCTTTAATGTCTTACTCATTTTCTAATCAGCAATTCCTTGTTCCGTTGTCTCATATTGTAGAAGTCATAATTATGTAAATAATGTAGAAAAACAATTTCATTAGGAACTGTATTATTTAAAGGCTATTTTCAAGAACCTGTTTTCCTGCAGAGACCGAGCGAGACAGATGGAAAGAAAGGGGAAGTGTTGCATCTTAGCTTAAACTAAGCCCTTAACTCAAACTAATCTTTTAAATTCGGCTAACACAACAGCTAATATCACCAGAGCAGAGAGAAACAGATTACAGAGAAAGGGAAGTCATGGGAAGTCTGATTTGCAGTTGCTCTGATTGTAAATTTCACGTTTCTCACATTTAACAATGTTAGAGATTAATCTGGTCCGATTCACTTCCCTAAGCAGAGTGCCTAGTGTGCCTGAAACCTGCAGTGCGTGTAATTACTGTAACGACACAGATCTGTGAAAAGCGTTCAAACACTGACCTCTGACTGCTGCAGTAATGCATAAACTTCTGCCTAACCCAGCACAACCTGCCTGCTGACTCCTGTCCTGAGAGATTCAACCAAACAGGACTTACAAGTACTGTTCTTACAGTCACACACAGGATCACAGAACAAAGTGGATTATTCCCAGAACACACAAGCTTTAATTTTTCACACACAGAGGAATATATATAGTATATTTGCACACTAATGATTGAAGTTTGGGGTTGATAAGATTTTTTTGTGTTTTTGATTGCTCACCACCAAGGCTGCATTTATTTGATCAAAAACAGTAATATTGTGAAATAGTTACAATTTAAAAGTAACTATTTTAATATTATTTTAATAGATTTTAAAATGTAATTCATTCATCTGATGGCACAACAATCTTTCTGACTTTGAATGGCAAGAAATAATTTCCGTTTACAAGCTAAATATTTTAATTAGAGAAGAACAAAACAAAAAGGACAACAATGTACTGATATTACTGCCATTGTTTATTTAAAACAAAATTATGTCAATTTGTATAGTCAGTATGCCCTAAATTAATTCTTTCTTAATAAGATTGTTAATTATTAGGACTCAATGGCAAAAAAAGTCCTAAGGAAAAGGTGTATATTAAAAAAATTATATATTTAAAAAAACAAACAAAAAACAATTAATTTAAAAAGTACTTTTTACTTTGATACAACAGCAGTAGGAATTGGAATGGGCCTTTCTGCACAACAGAACTGATTTCAATAGAAAGTAGAAAAATAAATTAAACGGGAATGGTGGTTTAAAATTCAGAAGCACTTCCAATTCAACTTTAAAACAGAAGCACACTGTATAAAACTATACACTGTAAAGAGTTCTCCACAGAGATCTGTTCATCTTCCTTCACATTAAGTCTGAACCTGTCAAAGAAAGCGGATTAAACTGTTCAGTAGGATTAAACATTTCAGTTCCCATTACCCTCTTCTCTCTCACTCACTCACTCTCACACACACACACACAGTCAAATTTAAAGGGATAGTTCAGCCCAGAATGAAAATAGCGTCATTTTTTAAATCGTATTATTCCAACCCTGCACTGTCCTTCTTTCAAGAAACACAATAAGAGATCCTGAATGTGTGTGCTTGTGTTTTCCCTACAAGGAAACTAACTTCCAAACAGGGAAAAAAAACACTTACAACACTAATAACGTACAAGTCTACATTTAACATACTTTCTTGGTGTTTTTTGTCTGTTTTGGAGCTTGGCAGTATAAATTATCATCAATGTTTGTTGAATAGAAAAAGGCAACTCACACTGTGTTTGAAATCTCATTTTGCATTTTGTGAAAAAAAAATTATCAGTCAGAAAGACATGAGGGTGAGAAAATAAGCTCCTTTCTGAATGAACTATTAATTTAAGCACATCCTCAGAGCTAACTTGTGATTTTGTTCAGTAGAATTCTCACACACACACTCTATTCCTGTTTTGGTCCCCTGTTAGTCTCATAGTATTTTTTGTCACGGCGTTAATTGGAATGTCCTAATGTACCTTCTTATTGTCTGACATGGCAGTCTTAGGGTGTTCCAGTAATCAGAGGTGCAGTTAAACCACCTCCATGCCCAACTGTTGGGCAGTGTCCTGTAGCTGACGCATTACGGCTCCCTCACTTGTAGAGTCCGTTTCTGCAGAGGTGCCGGCTGTCAACACCAAGAACACACTTTCTGTATTTTCCTGTGTCCTACAGACATCCACTCCCTCCTTTCTTATTCCTGCCTCTGTATTTCCACTCATGGTGCGGAGGGGCCCCGTCTCCTCCAGTTCTTCACCGTTCTGCTGGCTGGACTCACTGCTGTCCCCTTCTCCCTGCCGCTCCCGCATCAGCTGCTCTGTCAGCTCCACGCTCTCATAGCGGATCAGCTGCAGGCGCATGAACCCATCTTCATGCTCTTTATACCTGAAAAAGATTGGAGAAAACCATAGTCAGGTTAGATGGGTTAGGTTTACTGTCCACTGGATACCCACATCAAAATAAATATGCCATCTACTATGGTTAGAACTATGGGTGGTCAACCTACTTAAAAGTTTTGATTCATCGTGTTTATTTTATTTATTATTTATTTATTTATTTAAAAGAAAATAATATATGTTTATTCAGTAAGGACACATTAACCTGATCAAAAGGTGACCCAACGATATTTAGATATTTATAAAAGATTTGTTTCAGATAAATTCTGTTCTTTTAAGCCTACTCATCAAAAAGTAAAGTTTTCCACACACAAAAAAATAAAATTATAATAATAAAACATTAAGCAACGCAAATGTATTCAAGCATATTAGAATAATTTTTGAAGGATCACGTGACACTGAAGAGTCCACTTTTCAGAGAAATAAAATCTATTAAATACATTTAATAATTATTAAAACAGAACAGTTGTTTTAAACTGCACATTCCAAAAATTACTGCTTTTGACTATATTTTTAAACATAAAATTTAAAAAAATAAATAAATAAAATATATATATATAGTAAAAATACAGTATTGTAGGTTTCCACATACACCATCTAATGTTTATTGCACACAAACCTAGCAAGTGCTTTCTGAAAACAAAAGCAAAGTCAAAGAGGAATACTTCAAACCTAAATCTCGGGTGTCCTGAAGGCCATTTGAACTGATGTTTCTTGCGTAAATGGGCAGTGAGGTTGTTCCCCCGGGTGAAGCACTGCTCACACACGTGACACTTATAGCGAGGAGTGTAATCTCCCTAAATGCAAAACAACACATTAACGTTTTTAGCTATTCTGAAGCTATGAGCTGAAAATGAGTGCAAATGTAATGATGCAGAATTGTATTAACTTTCTGACGAACATTAAGTTTTATTTTAATTGCTCACACTGTTCCAGACAATGAATTCTGCCTTTTTATTTTATATAAGAGATCCTGAATGTGTGTGCTTGTGTTTTCCCTACAAGGAAACTAACTTCCAAACAGGGAAAAAAAACACTTACAACACTAATAACGTACAAGTCTACATTTAACATACTTTCTTGGTGTTTTTTGTCTGTTTTGGAGCTTGGCAGTATAAATTATCATCAATGTTTGTTGAATAGAAAAAGGCAACTCACACTGTGTTTGAAATCTCATTTTGCATTTTGTGAAAAAAAAAATTATCAGTCAGAAAGACATGAAGGTGAGAAAATAAGCTCCTTTCTGAATGAACTATTAATTTAAGCACATCCTCAGAGCTAACTTGTGATTTTGTTCAGTAGAATTCTCACACACACTCTATTCCTGTTTTGGTCCCCTGTTAGTCTCATAGTATTTTTTGTCACGGCGTTAATTGGAATGTCCTAATGTACCTTCTTATTGTCTGACATGGCAGTCTTAGGGTGTTCCAGTAATCAGAGGTGCAGTTAAACCACCTCCATGCCCAACTGTTGGGCAGTGTCCTGTAGCTGACGCATTACGGCTCCCTCACTTGTAGAGTCCGTTTCTGCAGAGGTGCCGGCTGTCAACACCAAAAACACACTTTCTGTATTTTCCTGTGTCCTACAGACATCCACTCCCTCCTTTCTTATTCCTGCTTCTGTATTTCCACTCATGGTGCGGAGGGGCCCCGTCTCCTCCAGTTCTTCACCGTTCTGCTGGCTGGACTCACTGCTGTCCCCTTCTCCCTGCCGCTCCCGCATCAGCTGCTCTGTCAGCTCCACGCTCTCATAGCGGATCAGCTGCAGGCGCATGAACCCATCTTCATGCTCTTTATACCTGAAAAAGATTGGAGAAAACCATAGTCAGGTTAGATGGGTTAGGTTTACTGTCCACTGGATACCCACATCAAAATAAATATGCCATCTACTATGGTTAGAACTATGGGTGGTCAACCTACTTAAAAGTTTTGATTCATCGTGTTTATTTTATTTATTATTTATTTATTTTTTTGAAAGAAAATAATATATGTTTATTCAGTAAGGACACATTAACCTGATCAAAAGGTGACCCAACGATATTTATCATGTCACAAAAGATTTGTTTCAGATAAATTCTGTTCTTTTAAGCCTACTCATCAAAAAGTAAAGTTTTCCACACACAAAAAAATAAAATTATAATAATAAAACATTAAGCAACGCAAATGTATTCAAGCATATTAGAATAATTTTTGAAGGATCACGTGACACTGAAGAGTCCACTTTTCAGAGAAATAAAATCTATTAAATACATTTAATAATTATTAAAACAGAACAGTTGTTTTAAACTGCACATTCCAAAAATTACTGCTTTTGACTATATTTTTAAACATAAAATTTAAAAAAATAAATAAATAAAATATATATATATAGTAAAAATACAGTATTGTAGGTTTCCACATACACCATCTAATGTTTATTGCACACAAACCTAGCAAGTGCTTTCTGAAAACAAAAGCAAAGTCAAAGAGGAATACTTCAAACCTAAATCTCGGGTGTCCTGAAGGCCATTTGAACTGATGTTTCTTGCGTAAATGGGCAGTGAGGTTGTTCCCCCGGGTGAAGCACTGCTCACACACGTGACACTTATAGCGAGGAGTGTAATCTCCCTAAATGCAAAACAACACATTAACGTTTTTAGCTATTCTGAAGCTATGAGCTGAAAATGAGTGCAAATGTAATGATGCAGAATTGTATTAACTTTCTGACGAACATTAAGTTTTATTTTAATTGCTCACACTGTTCCAGACAATGTATTCTGCCTTTTTATTTTATACATTTATTGTGGATTTATTGTGTTGCTGGCAGTAATAGAGATTATCACTAGATTAGATAAATTATTTTTATAGATCAAACCTTGGACCTTATTACATTATTTCTTGTAATGATAAACAATTCTTGCATCAATTACAGGCTAAAAAAACAATCTCACAGAAATTACATTTTCCGGTTTACATTTGAAATCAGGAAAAATTGGTAAAACAACATTAACAGTCCTAAATGTAACAATGTACTTCCACATGTCTGTAGAACCACTCCGGATTATCCATAGACATCTGAATACAAATACGCTTATCAGCTGAGCACTTTATTTTGAAAGCACTGCCAAACACAATACATATAATAGAATAAAAACTCTTCCACTTATTCTTCACACCTCAATAAACTTGATTTGACAAGCCACATACAGTAACACTTGGGATTGCTTCCATACCTCACAGTGCTCCCAAAGACAAAGGAAGTTCTCTTGGACCTCAGGCACAATGTTGCGGTTATGGAGGCCGACCGAACAGGCACCCATGTCACTGTGGCCCTTGAGTATAGCAAGACCCCATTGCTTCAACTTGGTGTGGTAGCAATGAAAGAACATGTGTCTGAGAAGCTCTGCATTTCCTTCCACTGAGCAGAAGCCACAGTCTCTCCACAGACAGTTATGCTCCTCTTCTGTAAAACATGCAGGCAAGCCAAGTATTGATTATGGACCAGACCAATGGAGTCAGCGCCACAGAGACTCTGACTGCCAGAAACCTTGAGCTCAGACACCTGCTATGGCTCAAAGTCAACACTCAACAATCCTCCACATTACACATTATACCAGAACTGATAAGCTATTGTTTATATTGTCATTTACTTTGCAATGTATGGCATGTTTATTCTTAGAATTGAATCTTTACTCATTTTTACGCAATAACTTTACATCTCACAATTGCAACAAGAGGAGACTTCCAAAATAAAGTATTATTCATATTGAGAATTTTTATAAATATTTTGAATTCGCTTTTATTTTCAGTTTTCATTATACAAGTTTTTATTTACAAAATCGTTAGAAAAAGTCATTAGAACTAGTCCATATTACTCATACGCAATGTTCCAAGTCAGTGTTAGACATCCATAGTCACCTTTCATTTTCAATGCATGCAACAGATATTCTCCAAAACGTTTCCTATTGTGTTCCATAAAAAAAACTTGGAACTATATCATGTTAAATAAATGATGAGAATGTTCATTTTTGAGTGAACTATCCCTTTAAGACAAGAAAGACAAGGAAATAAATGCTTCCATTACAAGACCTGACACTTGCGAGGGTTGGACGCACCTGGTAAGTCTGTCTCACTGTCCACGGTAGCTTTATAATGTTTCTCCATGTGCTGGCAAAACTCCTGCATCCTTTCAAACGTCTCCTGACACGAGCCCCACTCACACGCCAGCTCCAGCTGCAGCTCCTCTCTGCGCAGGGCGCGTTTACCCGACGGCAGCATCCTGCAGCACTGAATGTAAAGCACAATGTGTGGTCCTCCCGTCTTCTGAAACACATGCTAAAGTCACATGCGAGATCTAACATGACTGTAAGTTTGTTCTGCACACCGCAGCTCGAGCTATCTGTCCATAGCTGCCAGTTTGTTTTTAAAGGCGATAAACACCACATTCACAATATGAACTGCGCCAAAATTATTACCTCCAACGTATTAATTACCAAATGTACAGCTAGTAGTTGTATTAATTATTATCATAGACGACGTTGATACCTAGTATGACACATAGCCGGTTAGCAAAACAAAAAGGCAAGTTAACATTCTGCCTCCATTTTGTTGACTAGTGACTTCGGTTGAGAATAACTGAATATTTCAATTCAAGTTTATTTGTACAGCGCTTTTCACGATACAAATCGTTGCAAAGCAACTTTACAGCAAATTAAGTTAATACAATATTTAGTGTTAGCTTATCAGTGGTGGCTGTCAGTTAATGTAACGTTACATATGGCAGAAATGTACGGGAAAATCAATTAAAGACGTAATCAAACAGACGATGAACACTATTTCGTGAGGGAATGCGTCTGCAGTTGTTTACAAATATTGATAAATAACTCACCTTTTGCAAATACTTCAAACATTTCCTTCCTTTTTCCCACATGAAATAACCAAACCAATCAGAATCCACCTTTGCGGGGTCGCGTTCAAATCTCAGCCAATCAAATTGCAGCCTAGCAGTACATCACAATTATCATTCCCTCCAACACCTAAACTCATTCAAGTGTTCCGCTGCTCGATTTGCACTTTGTATTCAATGGCGGTAATGCCTGTCTTCTACTAGATTAGTAGATTAAATAAACCCTAAAAAAAGTTTATTTGCTGTATGGCACTACTTTATGTAAATCTGCTTTGGAATTGCACTTAAATTATTGTGCTATATTAATACATTTTAAGAAAGCGAAACAACTGTGATATCAAGTAATTATTTTCCAGATAATATTTTAACAATTTGCTATCATTTTAGTACAATGGCAAATAAAATAAAAAACATTTAATTTTGCAAACATCATGTTAAAAGACTACACATTTACTATGGTCACAGTATAAAAGGGTTGCTATATATTAAACTGAACAGCTGCCTTTGTATTGTAGGAAAGGGACCACCACATTTGAGGGTCCTTGGCATATAATAACATGGAAAACCCTCATGCTAAATAATTGAAAAATGGGTTATTTGTATTAGTATTAATGTTTGATTTTTGGTCTGAAAACTGCATGAGAACAATATAAATATAAAACATAAAATATACAACAATTGATCTATAAAACAGTATAAATATAGAGCACTTTTTCCTTTCCGGAAGCTAGTATGGTCCATTGTCACATTGGTTTATTTAAATCAGTCAAAGGCATAATATTAGATTTGTCACACACACACACACACACACAAATACACCTGCATACATCAAGTAATCTTTCAGAAATGTTCTCAAAAATTTCAAACTCCCTAAAATATTCCTGAATGTATCTTTCAAAATAGAACCCTCTTTTCAGGTCAACCAAAATAATTAGATATCCTTACGCAGACATTGTTCATTATCTACAGAGCTCAAATGTCCCAATGACAGTTAAGGGCATATGTGTACACCGTCCCATCTCATGCAGATATATAGACAGAGAAGCTGGAATACAGTGTGTAGTATCAAGATTCCATACTTTATAGAGGACAGGCAGTAAGGTTATCATTCTTACAACAATCAGTTTTGTTTCAGTTCTGTATGTTCTTCAAATGAAAGCAGCAGGTTGTAAAGTCTCTCAGGAGCTTGAGTGGTCTAGATGTCGTAGAACAGACGCACAAGATGATACCGGATTCCAAATGCCACGGCACTCCCCGAGACCTGAGAAAGAAATATACTATTATCTCAAACCACCAAAACATCAGATTCTTTTGAAGAATTTACAGTCTTTGAAACCCTGCATTCATGAGGTAGCCTGATTTTGAAAATGTGATTTCTACACCTGGAAAAGGCATGTAAATTAATCAAATCTTGAATTTGATTAAAGCAGCACTATGTAACTTTTGGCGCTCTAGCGGTTAATAAACAGAACTGCACACATCCCGCGGAAGAACATTCTAACTGGAGCTACTTCTCTAAGTTTATGTCTATGGCGATTCACGCAGGTATGTGTTACTCCGCAGCGGTGACGACCCGACCAGGCTACAATAGTCCAGATATAAGTATTATTATAAGTACTTATTATTAAGTGTACCGTAGTGATTCGGAATAAGACAAAAACGCGGTTTGGAAGATGAATTCATGATGTACTCGCTCATTATATACATAGTGCTGCTTTAATACATTTTGCATGAATATACATTTTTGCTAGATGCCAATCTATAAAGTATTTTATCAGAGACAGAAAGTGGAGAAAGAGAAATAACTTCTAAAAAAAAACTCTTATCCTTAAAATTGGAAGAGTTGAACCCCTGAAGAAGATTCAACTAATAATTTTTTTATAGGAATTTACAGAAACTTTGAGTGCCCATATATTACAGTAAGTTTTGAAAACAACACTAGGGCTATGGAGCCTTTAAATATTGTTGTGACTAAAGGGGGCCTTATGATAATGACCAGAAAGATGTATTTCTCATACATTAGTGAGGCTGTAATGCCAAATATCACAACCTTCTTTACGGTTTCAAAGCACTTTGAATTGAAACGACCATAGTATAGCACATTGCCTCTAAACTCAGCTATAATAAATTTATGGGACTCACCTGTATTAAAAGCATGATTGCAGTCAGGTTTCTCTCATGGGTAGGTCCCAGTACTTTTAGTACCAGGTTGATAAGGGTCATGTTGTTACACTCAATAAACTCATCATCTCCTTCCTGCCCTCTACGCACATCCAGAAGCCATAACATTTCTGCCACCTGCAGGATAAAAGAGGAAATCACATTCAAAGATACAGGGAATACTGGGTTAAGCTCCTGAATCTTTTGTTGCAAAAATAACATTCTTTTAAACAAACATTCTTAAACCGATTTATAATGATAAATACTGACAGTGGCATGAGTGTGTTTACCATCAGAATAAGTTGCCCTAATTTGCCCAGGTCCTTCTGTTTGAACTTGGAATAGCTCATGCCAAGCTTTCCCGTGTCAGATTGTAACCTGCATTAATCAGTTTCAGAGGTCATGCTCTCATAACCATTTCATTTTGCCTTATCTATGGTGCAAATGTTTAGGGAACACTGTTGAAATAATAAGTAAATCATGTATAAAACTTACAAATAAATCATAAGTGAAAAAGTAATTAAAGGGGTCATATGATGCTTTTTTAAAGATCATTATTTGGTGTATTTGGTGTAACAGAATATGTTGACATGCTTTAATGTTCAAAAAACACATCCTCTCCCCCTCTCTCTCCCCCTCCCCCTCTCCCCCTTTCGCCTAGAAACACACAGCGTCTCCCTGACATGGCTGCTTCAACACTAACTGCGGTTACTGAAACCACGCCTTCTTTCTTTGCGTGCACATTTGGGCGCATTATGCAAATATTTCCACATAGTGAGGTAAATATGTGGGGGCGTGTTAGAACGAGCCGTTTTAGGGGGGCGTGGCAGAGTCTTAACTTTGATAAAGAATATCTCTTTGGTTTTGAGACTTTAGTCTTTGCAACTTCAGGGATCTTATCTATGCACAATCATCTTGTAACACTCCAAAGAGAAAGGAAAACTTGAAATCGCATCATATGACCCCTTTAAAGAGTTTAACACTTCAAATGCCCACATATTCAAATAACTTTCAATGACTGTCAAAATAAATTCTACTGTAAGTAAAAAGGAATCTATGTTATAGCTTGATTTTAAAATGTTAGTGTAATAACCTACCTAGGCAGACGATGTCTGGGACAGGGAATAATGTGAAACAGCTGAGGCAGAGAGTAAATGAAGTTGATGATTTGGGGGATGAAGAAAAGCAGCATGGTCTTACTGAAGTGGCCGAGTATCCCAACCACTGCAAACGTCATTCCAGCAAAGTAACAGAAAGTGTCTCCCACAAACACAGAGGAAGGGTACCTGATAAAAGATATTCAAAGGTTTATTATAGGTTCAAAAATAGGAGTGGTTGAGGTTAAGATTATTATCAGTGCTGATTGTCAAACAACAGTTCAGCATTTTAATGGGCTGTCTTAAACTAAAGTAAGTAAAGATGATCAAAAAGCAATATATTTAACAAACCAGTTGTGGTAGAAGAGGGCTAATGTGGTGAAAAAAAAGGGAATCATGAAGTACAAAGAGAAAACATGGTCATCCCTGTAGTCTCCTGAAAGAGAAACATTAATCAAAGATCAATTAAACAATATAAATTAGAGAATATATCTACAGACCTATTCAAATGAAAATCAAGCAATGTCAGAGAGGTTTAAACAAATTAAGTATAATGTGACACTGAAGACTGGAGTAATGACTTTTGAGAGTTGAGTTTTGCCATCACAGGAATAAATTACACTTAAAAAAAATAAAATAAATATATATATATATATATATATATTTATTTATTTATTTAAACAAATTTCACAATAGTACTGTTTTTAACTGATCAAATAAAAACACCCTTTGTGACCATAACAGACTTGTTTCAAAAACATAAAAATATTATTTAAAACTTTTGAACAGTAGTGTACATATAAATGGTATAAATTATGCATGTGGAAAGCAGGTGGAAAATTTGATCAAACAGGTTGAATAGAAACCCTCCGCTCACCATTGAGTTCCAGTATATTAAAGAGGATGATGGAGCCAGATATGAAGAGAGCTTGCCCAGACTCAATGCCATTGATACCAGCCAAGATGTTGATGGCATTTGTGCAGAATACAGCCAGCATTCCCATATACACATAATACAGAATGCCTGAAACACATTGTATAAAAATGCTGAGAATAGCGACAATCATACTGCACATATCAAACAAGAGGGCAATACAATCAAATCTAGAGCACAAGACATTTAAGCAGACTGTCAAACTCACCCAAGTCCAGATGCATCCCCAGCAGGACACGGAAAGGTTTGGGCACGACGATGAGAGTGTTGCCAAAGTTAGTGAAGTAGACCATGAGTAGAGGCAGGGAGGCTATAGTGGGCAGCAGCAGCTTGTGTCTCCATCGCAGATTCAGAACATCATCAGCAAAGCCCAGGAATATCATGCAGCAGATGGCCAACAAAGCACCAATCAGCTGCACAAACTACATGGACATATGCACAAATGCCATAGTTATGACTGATATTTTATATTACATTATTTTATATTTATATTATTTATATTGATATTTTATATATATATATATATATATTTTTTTAAAAATAAGTCTCTTATGCTAACTTTTATTGTGAATGCAATTAATCACGATTAATCATTGCCCAGCACTACTTAAAATATAATTTATTCCTGTGATCAATGACACATGATCCTTCAGAATAAAATAATATACTATAATATTCATAATATACTGATTTGCTGCTCATGAAACATTTCTTATTATCAATGTTGAAACAGTTGTGATGATTAATATTTTTTGACATGCTATTTTAAGCTTTTGTAACATAAATGTCTCTATTGTCACTTTTAATATTTAATTTCCTTAAAAGAAACTGAACCCAAACAGAGTGGTGAATTCTTGAAATGTGTTTATCGTTTTATCATTAAGGGATGATTAACTCACCTCGTTGTGAGGGAACCGTTGACACTGCTCTCCCATAAAGCACTGGAGGAAGGGGACAGGGATGAAGAGGAAGAGAATGATGAGGAAGACTGTGCCACTGATTACACCTTGCGATTCAGGCCTGGTTAATAAGGAAAAGAAAAAGAAGTTAAATTCAGCTTCCAAACATCAAATTGCAATTCATACGTTTGATGTAAAAATCAACCACTTACACCTCTTTCTTTATGGCTTTATTTAGGTCCATGCCATAGAGTCTGGCAGATATGAAATGATCCTTAAAAGCAGGAATCAGTTTGATTGTTGCAATGCACCCAAGTGCAGACATACAACAGTTGATGATAAGAGGAAGAGCAGGAACTGGAGACATCTTCTCCATGGACTAACACGACATAAAAATACAATATACTGTATCTACTGTACTATATGTCAGTTATATGTGGATAAATCTAGTTAAAAACAGCGTTCGATTCCTGTCAGCAACATTTAAAACTTTTGTGTTGCATATCCATAGTGGAGCTGTCATTGGCTTAAGTTTCTTCGAGGCTGACAAAAATTGGATTACATTTCAAATGCAGCTACAGACCACATGACTGTATGAATGAAATCGCGTGCATAATGCTTTATGATGACAGCTAGATTTTCGTAAATTACAGTCAAGCGATAAAAAGAATCCTGGCCAAATAAGCAGCGGTTCAGGTTATGAGTTACTAGTTACTCGTAAGCTTCTTTGACGTCAAAATGAGATAGATGTATCAGTTTACTGTATAGGTTTGGCTCTGATCACAAACTCCACGTCTACTTCCGTCAACATAATCCGTCCGCAGACTGGGTATATTAAACAACTTGCTTATTATACTCTCATAAGCTGTTGGTACGACAGTAAAGGCTTCGAAGCGTAATACTGCTAAACACGCGGTAGTGATCAGGTAGGTCTTTTATCAGAGAAATACGTAAATATATTCGCTATCATCTTGTTTGCAGTCAAACCTTTGCAGACGTAACACAACCGGAAACAAAATGAATAGTACGTTAAAGGTCTCGTTTTCAGTGTAGAAACCATAGACCTCAAAAGGTAGAAACATTCTGATTCTGTCGCTCAAATGAACAATTATGTTTTATGACTCTAATTTTTAGAAATACCAAATAACAACAACAACATTAAGTCGTGTTATTATTATTATTATTATTTGTATTTTTAAAAATATTCTATTTAATACATTTTAATATTTGCCTTAAAAATTGTATTAAGCTCATATATCTTAGCTAAGGATTAAAGGCTGAAAAATGCAATGCTGTAATCTTATATTTGATTAAACATGTTTTACAAGAACTCAGACAAGACGTTGGAACAGGGATATGACAGCTATGCTCACTCTCGTATAATATCATATAATAACCCTATGTTTTTTACAACAGTGAACACAAGTGATTTACCAGCATAAAGACAATACACAAAATATTATAAGATGGTTACAAAACATGAAAATTAATACATTACCATACAATTAAATAAATTAAAGCATATTAAACAACAATATATTATTATATGTGTGTATATATAATGTATTATATGATTGTAGTTATTTAAGTAAGTATTTTATAAAATTATATATTTTTTATATAATTTTATAAGTATTACATATAGAAGATTATTACAAGCTGACTTTGAATTTTTTTAAGAATACAAATATGTATCTATATATCACCATCTTTCTTGAAAATATAAATAATTGAATATATATTATATATTTATCAAATGTATTTATATTCATATTATCTTTGAAAATGGACATTATGAATATAACATTTTGCTAGAATATTAATTAAATAATTCTAAATGTAATATGAAGAGAGTAACCAAAGAACACAATTTTGGCTAATACAGAAGTTGGCTAATATAGAATTAGAACCATTAGCCCAAAACGCAAAATAAATGGATACTTGTATCCTAAAAGTGATGACAAATGGAACATAACATTCTTATGTTTATGACATTATGTGAATCCTCATAAACATCAGCGACAGCGAGTGCGCTTTGTGGCGCGCACCGCGCAGGCAGCGCATGCGCAGTTTAGGCAGCTCGCGCGGGTGTGCGTGTCTCTTTAAATACGTGCAGCGCGTACGTGGTGTGTGTTTGTGTTGCTACACTATTTGACAGCTCGACTGTTCTGTTCCTGCGCATTGCCATTACAGACCATCCGACACCGTCGGTGGGAGGGGGCACAGTTTCTCTTGAGTTGACAGCGCAGGATATTATAAATGTGTGGTTTTATGTATCACGCTAAAGATTCACGAAACGGAGGCCATGCACCGATCAACTCAGGTTTGATCGTAGAAGATGCTCGGACCTGAAGACTGGTGCTGAAATTACGAAGACATGATGTAGCCATTGAGCTGGTGATCTGTAGCTAGTCAGCGTCCAAAGACGGTGTTTCTCGTCTGATCGGTAATATTTCATTTCTGTTTTTTTTAAATACTGAATATACATTCGGCGTCATATATGCGCGTCCAGCATTTTTGTCCACCGTAGGTCAGCTGAACTGACTGATCGGAGTCAGTTGCCCAAAAATGCTGTCTATTTAGGCAGCTCACTAGGCTTTGAAACACAGCTTTTGGAATGGTGACCAGTGAGGGGGACGTAAACATGCATAATTTGATATGAACGCCATTATTGCATACAAGCTTAGATTAGCTGTCAAGAAGAAGGGAATTGAAATGAATCGCTAGATGGGTCATGATGAGCTGTTTCGACGTTGCAGTGCTGCACTGACCCAGAACACCCTGGACTGTCAGTAATGTGACAGAATCGGAACGGGTTTGTATGAGACAGGCTTCACACAGGACTAGACTCTGCAACCGATCTGACTTTTCTGGAAGAAGTTGTGTACTTCTCCGGTTTCAGGACATGCATTCAATGTCACACTTTCACCGAAATGCTTAGTCAGTTTGCTTAACTGCTTAAACTTTCAAGCACAGGTGATAATACTAACACGAAACATTATAAAGTATCTCTTTGATAAGAACACGTCTTTGCAACCTTTGCAAAAAGGTTACTATGGTAACCTTAGTTTGGGCGCAAATGGTTAAAGTAGTAACTACAGTCATTATTGTGCAATAAAATTAGACCACTGTCGTGTGAGTGTGTGTGTGTGTACATGCATACATACACATACATATACATACGTTTTTAAGTGTAGTGTTATGAAGTAAATACCATCTTTTTTAGGTAAGCTGCATGGCCGTACTTCTGAATTGTTTGGTCGGAAAACATTTGCCAAGAATATAATATATATGTAAATAGTAAAGAAACCATAGCTGATTTTCATGAATTTGACCTCTTGTTAAAAGTACAGTTCACCAAAAAAATGTACATTTTGTCATTATTTTCACCCTTGTGTTGTTCCAAACACATATGACTTTCTTTTTTCCTTGGAACATAAAAAGAGAACAGCAATCAAGAGAGGGGCTATTCACACAGAATACGTGTTTGCATTCAACTTTGCATTGTTTTTCTATTTAATCATGCACTAGATGCACATATTTGACAATAGCGAGAGGTGCTCAAGTTAAAAGTCTTTTCTTGAGACCTTGCCTTTTTTTCTTTCCACTGCTCTGTGTCTCTGCGTGAACCATCCCTGCTATCAGTTACTCCCAAACATGCTGTCTAACATCTCTTTTTGTAAAAGAAAAAAAGATCTTGGGGGCTGTTCACAAACACATTTTAGCGTTCCACTGTGTTTTCCTTTTCGGTTGTTTTTCTACATTAACATGCTAAACGTGCTCATGTCTCGTGTCTTTTTACAGTATCTCATGCATGATGGCATGATAAAAACGCATCTCTGGACCTTGTGTTTTTATTGTCTCCCCTGTCTCGCATCTCGCATTTTTTAAAAGCAAGAAGCATTCTGTATGAATGGCCCCTTACAGGTTCGGAACAACATGAAGTTGACTCAAGAATTTTCATTTTTGAGTCAACTGTCCCTTTAAGATTTCACTGTTCCTATAAGATGTTGTTAACATGTTTTGTCTTTGTTGCATGGCTGTATATCCCTTCATCCTGTCTTTTTCCACTCAACTTACTCTTTGTCTCTCTCTCCCTTTCCCCAGAGTTCCAACCTTCGTGAGTCAAGATTTTCAAGCTTTCATAAACATGAGACTTAAGTGAACAGTGATTAGGGAGATGACGACTTTCCAGGACGTGAGCTGGCTGGTTCAGGTGGCGCTCTTCTGCGCCTCGCTGCTGGTCGTATTAGCCTGGCTCATTCAGTTCTCACTGGCGTTGCTTCGCCCTAGGTGGTGCACGAGGGTCCAGGGCAAGAGGGAGACCCCGTGGCATCTGCCCTTGAGTCTCACCCACCAGACACTGACGGGCGGCGTGTGGGGTTCCCTCCTGAGGCTGAGGCTGGGGCGAGACGGGGCAGGGAGTGACACTGAAGCGGGCGTCAAAGGTCTTTTGTCCTCGCTTTTTGTGTTCAAGTCGTTCAGGGAGCACTGGCAGAGAGCCTGGGTCCGGGCGCTCAACGAACAGGCCTGCAGGCAAGGGGTGAGTACGATCTGGAGCAAAATTCAATTTGTTTTGAGACAATACGGTGTAGAAACATATGTAGGAGGGTTTGTATATACATACGCATGTGTTTTCTTTGCTCCATGCATGTTTATACATGTGTAAGAGTATTTTTAGGCTATGCGAGTGTGTGTGGGCATAATATCATGGCCTGGCTACTTGATAGTGAATGTGTGGGTGTGACAGTGTCAGGGTACGCAGGTTCTTGTGTAACAACCACACGCTTTCTCTCCTCCCAGAAAATCTGCTCTGCAGTGAGTATTACACATGACAGGCCTCAGTCTACTGTCTCCTCTGGGGTTTCTCTCATGGAAGCAAATTTGCACTTTTTTTCCCTTAGTTAATCAGTGTAAATGAGAGTATTTGTCTTAAACGCCAAGATTTTGCTGAAAATGTGACACTTATTGCCTACGTGCACTGGTTTTATATTTAAGATGCATACTTTCACATGATACCCGTTAAATTGACAGATTACTTTTTGCGGCAACTGTCTGTTATACTTACATACATTTAATATTAGCTGTATGCATGTTTTTATCCATATTGCTAACATTAAAGGGTTAGTTCACCCAAAAATGAAAATTAGCCCGTGTTTTACTCCAAGGCATCCTAGGTGTATATGACTTTCTTCTTTCAGACGAATCCAATCGAAGTTATATAAAAAATTGTCCTTGCTCTTCCAAGCTTTATAATGGCATGGGCGAGTGTTTTTGTTCAACAGTCTAAAAGTAGTTAAATAAAGCGCATCCATCCATATTAAAACATGTCTCACACGACTCCGGGCGGTGAATAAAGGCCTCTTGAAGCGTTTTTGTAATAAATAAATAAATAATAATAATCCATATAATATCCATAGAAATGCCAAAATGAAAGAGCTTCTTTGAGCAGATGAAGAACTCAGTCAAGTCCCTTGTACAAGGAAAAGACTGTCCCAATTACGTTTTGTTCAACAGTCTAAAAGTAGTTAAATAAAGCGCATCCATCCATATTAAAACATGTCTCACACGACTCCGGGCGGTGAATAAAGGCCTCTTGAAGCGAATCAATGCGTTTTTGTAATAAATAAATAAATAATAATAATCCATATAATATCCATAGAAATGCCAAAATGAAAGAGCTTCTTTGAGCAGATGAAGAACTCAGTCAAGTCCCTTGTACAAGGAAAAGACTGTCCCAATTACTTTCCACAGTATACACTAACAGGGTCAATAAGTTTAAAAAAAAAAAACTTTTATTCAGCAAAGACTAATTCAATTGATCAAGTGACATTAAAGACATTAAGAAAAATTCTATGTCAAATAAATGCTGTTCATTTAAACTTCCTATTCATAAAAGAATCCTGAAGAAGATAATCCTCAAAAATATAAAACAGAACAAATGTGTTTAACATTAATAATCGTCAACGGCAATAGCCTTGTGGTTATTGCTGTGACGCATAGCGCAACTGTACTCGCCCAAATTCGATTCCCGTCTCGAGGTCCTTTGCCGATCCCATAAAAGCCCAGAAATATAACTTTAAAAAAAATATTAATAATAATCAGGAAAATTTACAGACTCCATATTTTTAATGGTAGTGTAAATAATCACAATTTTTAATTCAACTTTTCTGGCAATATTACAACTAAATGTCAACTGGTCCTGGCCTCTGACCAAAAATATTTATATTGTTTCATTACCTAAATGATTAATTATAGTACAGCATATTTATGTTGATTATTTTTTGTGATCAGCTCATTATCTCATGGCCAATCAGATACTCTGCAGTTCCACAATCAATCCTAGATATGTATATTACTCTAATTCTAGAGAGAAAAAAACACACAGATCACACAACTAGGTTAAAGGTCTCTAACAACTGGTTCCCTCTGTAGCCCTTCGTCTGTTTAAGAGTGTGTTTGAGGACTGGTGAGTTGTGTAAAGGTCTCCACTCCTATATTTAACTCTAACTGTATTTGATCTGTGTCTGTATCAAAGCTCAGTCTGCCCGGTAGGTGTACTTAGAAAAAATGAAAGATGTCCTTCCATCCCCTCTCTAGACACTTTTCTCAGTGAGGTCAGGCTGAATTGTGAAAAAATGCTTTTACTTGAAGTCTTTGAAGATCAGTTCATCAGAGGACTCGCCATCGTTTTAAGTGATGGCTATGTGCATATTTAGACATGAGCAGAATGTAGAAATGGCATTTTCACCCAACAGGCAGTTCCAGTCGGGTTTTACAGCAAATGCGAGCCTTCAAGGGATTTAAACTTCAATACAGTGAACTTTGCTCCAACACCTGAGCTATATAGAAAGTGGGGGCAGGGGATCCTTCCATCTCATTTCCTTACCGAGGTCTCCAGCCGATAGTTGTGCCAGTTCAGCAACCTAGTTATTTTCTCAGGTTGTCAAAGTGGGGGGAGGGAAGGCTACAGAATGCAGTTATGCAATTGCTGTCCCTTTATCTTAAATTTCTTCACAGTCAGTTGGGTTCTCTGAGAAAAGAGAGGAGGCAGAGGCTAATAAATAGCCATTTATTAGTTAGCTGTTTAATTTAAGTGCATTTTGGCTGTGTGCCATAACTGCAGCACTGACTGTAATGCGGTAAGCTGATCCAAAAAGCAACTTAACGCTGCAAAGTGCAACGATTCTGCAGACTCTGTATCAGGGAGTCCTGAAGTAAGGACTTTTCCTAATGAATGTCTTTACCGTTTAGAATCCCCATGTGGGAGTGAGTCACAGGAGTTGATGTAATGTGTCACTGTGTGTGGTTTTTAGATTAAAGAATAAATTCACACCATTTTTTTCAATGGAACTGGCACAGGTTATGACTAGCATGGTTCTGTTCTTGATTTTTAAGTTTATGCAAAACGTTTATTTGAGGTTTCATGATAATGGTATGGAAGGTGCAGCCTCCATTATAAACGCTTAGGGAATTATAGTTTCATGACTGTAAACATACAGGTTATAAGTGTGGGATGATAGTTTCAGGTATGCATGTAAACATACAGGTTATATCGGTGCATTGTGTGTGGTTGTATGAATTGAGCTAATTAAAAATAGGAGTGTAATGTTTTTGTCATACAGTTCTTACCAAAGTTCATCAGACTACATCATAGATTCTTGATACTATAGGTGTGGTCACATTTACCGTTGTTCGGCTTAATTTCACAGGCTAAATCCAGTCATTTCAATAGGAATCTGTGCAGTCTGGAATTTCATGTAAGGGTGAAACATGTCCTCACACAGATTTGGAAGTCATTCACAAAAATGTACCTCGTTTACCAACAGAATGCAGCTTTGTTTTGAAGCGGTGCTTCATGCATTACTACACTACTGACAATGGAAAAGGGATCTTTTTTGCTTGCAAAATTTGTGACCTTGTGCCTTTTAATACAGAATATTTACCAGACGTCTTTCCAAACCCTCCATCTGTTTCCAAATCGCATCTGTTTTCAGTATCTGTTCATCTCCCAAAACCTTTCACACAGTAGCACAGTGTTGAGTTCAGTTCAACTCCTGTAAAGGTTCTTTTTAAATTATACAAAGCAGTAGACCGTAAAGAAAGAGCTTCAAAACGGAGCTGTATCGAAAAGACAGTCATGCTTTATTTGTTCTCCATTTTAATGATTTTACCTTTTATGAAAGGAAACCGTTTCTCTGTTCATCTGATAGTTTTAACGTCTGTGATTATAATGTTGGAAGAGAGAGGGTTGGCTAACAGAGGGGAGACAGTTAACTGGCTCCAATGAAAAGTGGTCAGGGAATGGAACAACTCTGAATTGAAAGACCTTTTGGATGATCGGACCTTGATTAGCAAGAAAAGTAACGTAGGTGTCAGTGTTCAACTAGGCATTTCAATTTAATCTGCAATAACTGGATCTTCTGTGGGAATTTATAGTGCCGTGAAATGTTAGTCGCGTGACTCTCCCTTAGAGGTGACCTCCGTGTGCTAGTTAAATATTCCTGTGTTAGATTGGGATTTGGGGAGAAGCTCCTTTTTCGGAAGCTTTGATCTAGAATCTTGTCTCCAAGCAGACCGGATATCTGCTCTTTCAGCATGCCAGGTCATTGACACCCCAATCCACTCATATCAAGTTCTTCTGACCTGAAAAACCTGCCTGTGGAGTTGTTCCAGTGCTTGCGAGGTGTTTTTTGTGTATGCTTGAGACTGGATCGAGAGCAAAAGAGATTTGCAACTTTCGCTCTGCCCCTCTGAAGCACTGAAGCCATCTGTTGACACAGCAACATGAAAACAAACACCATGGTTCCAGCCCTAGCCATGGCGACCACCTCTCAGGTTGGAGATGAAGGAGAAAAGAGAGTCAAAGTCTCTCCCTCTGTATTTCTATCTGTTAAACATTCCAACTGTTTGTGCTTATTAATCTAATAATTAATGCAGTTCATAACCAATTATTAGGTAATACTTTAGTATGGGGACCAATTCTCACTATTAACTAGTTGCTTATTAGCATGCCTATTATGAACATATTGGCTGTTTTTTAGTACTTATAAAGCACATATTATGTATAACCATATTCTACATTCCTACTCAATACCTAAACTTAACAACTACCTTACTAACTATTAATAAGCAGCAAATTAGGAGTTTATTGAGGCAAAAGTCGTAGTTTATGGTTTATTAATTGCGAGAATTGGACCTTAAAATAAAGTGTGACCAATTATAATTTATTTACTATAACAAAACTATGCTGTAATTATGTATCTAACCCTGTAGCCTGACATAAGAAATAATAATAGAAATATCTTTTTTTTTTTTTAAATGGAACCGTTTTAGCAATACATTTTTTTTTAAATCTGAAGAAAAGGCAAAAAGGTTTGGATATGTCATACTTTATGGCTAATATAGTATAAGAGAAAAATGGAGCTCATACTCAAGGTGGAAAAAAGCACCTCAGTTTTATTCAGAGTCCAAAACTATGCATTTTGGTGCAGTTGCTGATATTTGTATTGCAATAAAAAGTAAGATGAGATTTTGTAGCTA